CAAGCCCAGTTGATTGTAATAATAGATACGCTACTACCCTAAAATCATTTATTGGGAAATATCCCTTCAAAAAAGATTTTCTTTGCTCTAACAACCTTACTCAATGTTAATTTCCCCTTTTTCCAGTGAAATTCCACCAAATTTGTTTATAGGCTAATAGAGAGTGTCTCTAGGTGGAATCCATTGGAATTGTCAGCAAACTTCTGAATAAATTACTTTTATTTCCAATCAAAAACACAAACAATGACATTGATTTTGGTGGCTTGTGCCTAGTTTGAGCAAAGTGAATTTTCCCCATATTTGTTTATGGAGGGTATATCAGTGAAATCCATTGGATTGGTTTTTAACCCTTGAAAACATAGCTTTTATGTGTGTTGTAAAACAGGGAAAATTATATCGATAATTTTGATAATTTTAAAAATCTTTAAGTGAGATTTCCCTATATTTATAAAATTGGGTGTCTAGTATTATAACCTTTATGTTTTGTTTGCAAACCTTTGAAGACATTGCTTTGAGTGCAAGATAAAACAGGGAAACGTGCATTGAAGTCTGTCATCCAAGCCAATTAAGTTTGACCACAGTTTACCAGAAATGTCCCCATATTTATTTATTTTTTAAATCGAGGCGGTTTAGTATTGGAATACACTGAAATAATTAGCATTTGGATAAAAGAGGGAGTCTAATATTATAAGGCATTGTATTTGTTTGCAAACCCGTGAATAAATTGTTTTATGCACTAGATACATAAAGGGGTTTTACCAGGCATTGATACTGAATTAAAAATATTGCCATTACTCCTCTTAAAGTACATAATCAATGTATGTGAATAAAGCACATTAAGAATTGATTTATACAATATAAACATTTATTTATAATTAACTTCTGGGGGGGACTGAGTATATTATTCTTATTATACAAAGCAGTAGTATTATAAGCATTAATAGTAGTTGTTGTCTGAATGTGGGTAGGAAGTAATGGGATACAGTTTGCACAATATAAATGCCTCACAGAAGAATCTATACAGCCATCTATCGCTACTCTCTCATTTTGAAGTTTTTACTTTCAGTCCAGTGTCACATGGGTCCGCACGACCCGATGACGGTAATAAATGCGCAGCAAAAAAGTCAAACTCGTGCTGACGGTGCTGTCGGCTCACTTCACAGCAGCCCAGAGACCTTTCCAAATGTTTGTTTTTACGAGCTTTATAGCGCTGTTTCCTGGATAACCATTCAATAAAAACCAACCCAATTCGGGTTATTCTTATATCTCACTTCCCTCAGTTTTCAACCTACAAACTTTACAACATCATGTGGATCTTTAAAAATACTCTTTTCCAGGTTTCTCACATATTTTGTATGTATGCATGTGCATGTAGGTATGAGTGTATGTGTTTGTGATATGTATGTATACTACATGTATATATGTATGTGTATATATATATATATATATATATATATATATTTGTGTGTGTGTGTATCATGTGTATGTATATGTATGTATGTGCATATGTATAGAATAATGTTTTTATTTTTATTTCTTGCTTTTACGCATTGCCTGTAAAGCACCTTGGTCAGGTGAGGCTGTTTTTAAATGTGCTATACAAATAAACTTGATTTGATTTTGTCGACAGGGGGCGCCGCTTGATTTGTTTAAGTCACGAACTGTGTAATGACGTCACTTCCTGGCGGGGTTTTGAGCCGCAGTCAGACGGTTGTAAACAAAGTCAGCAGCTTGTCTTACTGCGTTTATGGGACAGTGCCGCTTTTATAAAGCTGTACGGGTTAAATCGACAGGAGGAGTGAGTGATTTATATTGATTTGACGATGAGATGTTGTGGAGAACAGCGCGTGTAACCTTTGATTAATTTGCACTGATCAGTGACGTAATCAAGGTAAGAAATCCATACCTGTCCGTCCTGCAAACTACATAAGATAGTTAATAATAATAATAATAATAATAATAATAATAATAATAATAATAATAATAATAATAATTACGTAATGATTCTTATGTTGTCAGCATCATTTAAACGCAGGGTTTCACTTTGAGCTCTTCATTATTTTATTTTTATTTAAGAACTTATTTGAACATCCTACAGTAAAAAAAAAGACAGGACTAACTAACATATATCCGTAAGGGACTGTCTAGTCTCTATATATTTTATAACATAAACCACCATGAACAAAGCTTACATTACAACATTATTTCACATTTGCGGAGACACACATATCCACTTTGGTGTATTCAGCTCGAGCTGGAAGAGTCTAGTTAGAATCAGATTCACTACCGAGGTTGTTTTCTTAATTCAATATAAATGTCAGCCCCCTGTGTCTGCGTTCATAGATTTACTTTATACGCACAAAAGTTTCAGTAACAGTAGTAGATCGATATTGTTCATCAGTATAAAGTTGCCCAGCGGCTCCTTGGATCAGATTCAGGTGTTCTCTCAGGTGACTCTAATTCTTTTGTCTCTTTAGGCACTTTCTTTGTTTTGTGATGGACCCAGCTGACACTGTGGGGAACCTCGACCACATGGTGGAGGCTGTGGCACTGACCGGTGCTCCTGCTCCTGACAGCTCTACTGGACAGAAGGATATCTCGCCTGTAGACATGCTGAGGTTCTTACTCCAAAGCTGCCTCAGCGCTTCCTTTATTATTCTGTTTACAGTGCCTGGATGCTGTTTGAAAGTCACACCAATGAAACCAGACATGACTCAAAGGCAGTTATTAGAACATTTATAATGTTAAAGTATTGTCTTTTCAGAATAAAACAGCAGATGTCAAATCAGTGCTTTGAGATGAAAGTACAGATCCATGCAGGTGAGTAACTTTGTGCGTTATTTCCATCTTATGATCTTTCAATGAGTTCAACAAACAAGTCGCTAATATCCAGATTCCCATGACAGGCAAAAGTAAAAGAACGTGCAGCACATCAGAAGCTGAAAGAGACTTGTGAGTATTTAAAATCCTTATATTTGTTTTGATCTAAGATTTGAACCAAATGTTCACATTTTAAAAGCTGTCCCACTGATAACATACTTTTCATGAAACGACACAGGCCAGATTACGTCAGTGAACTGGAAAGAGTGAAGACTTCTCATATTAACAGGACATTGGCCCTGCACAGGTAACCCAGGCCCTATCATTATATTATTATGGAAAAGAACAATTTAAAACCAAGAGGTAATTCTTTTTACTTCCTTCCATTTGCCTTTGCCCTTAACTGCCTCTGCTTTATCTGGTCTCATGCACTACATCACTTTATTCTATCCATTTTATATCAGTATTCATCCAGTTCTGGTTACTTTATTCCTGTTGTTTCTTATCCATCATTGCACTACGGTCACTTTATTTATCTCATTTTTACCTTTATAGTTATATTGTTTATATTAGTTCTGTTGTTCCATTATTCACCATGCACCTTATTAACTTATCATTTAGTATTTGCCTACTAGCACATAGCTTTGTGTATATATATATATATATATATATATTTATTTCTTGTTTACTGCACATAGTTCTGTTTACATCTGTTTACGTCTGTTAGTCCGATCACTGTCCACTTATATCTACTCTTTTTATATTTTGTATTTTAAGTTAAGTTTAAGCTTTAAGTTGTATTTAAATTTACACTTTATATTTAGGTTAAAATGTTTAATACTTGCACTGTTGTTAATTTACTGCTCTGTGTGCCTTTGAATTGCCCCCCGAGGACAAATAAAGTTTTTTGAATTGAATTGAATTGAATTGAATTGAATAATCCCGGTTAACATGCCAAATAATGGATCACTGGTGTCTTGCAGAATGCAGATGTGGCACGCTATAGGAGACAAACTTAAACAGAATGATTCTGAGGCTAAGTAAGTCCATTAATAACATATTGAAATAACTGGTAAACATTTGGTTTAATGGTTTTTGCTTATTTTATTGTGTACTTCTTTCCGTTTCAGTTCCCTGAAAGCTTTGGGTGATCGCTGCATGGCTCTTTGTTCACACATTAAACAGCTTCAGAAAGTAAGCAGCCACTTCATCCATCAGTATATTTTAAATTCCGGTCCGAGGCGATATTTTCTTGGGTGTACAATTAGTGCGTTTTTCTCCTCCTGTCTGTAGATGTAAATTTAAGTGACGCTATGTGGTTGCTTTTTCAAATAAATTTGGCTTTGTGTTAGAAAAAGAATGTTAGTCCATTTGACTTACCCATTTTTAACTGGAAATGTTGGAACAATGTGCGCTGCTAAAATCAGCTTTGTTCTTGATGACCTGTTGATGTAGAGTACTGCTTTGTGACTTTTCAGTGCTACAAAAACATCTTCTGTGAAATGACAATCATTTAAAATTAGAGTATGTTCTGTTTTGTGAACAGGAGTCAAGAGCTTTTCAAGATGACATCACAGAAATACAGAAGAAGAGGCTTGGTATGGTGGTATTTTATTTTTTAAAAAAAAGAAAATTGGATCATGTCAACGTTTTTCCACTCTTTTTTGGACAATGGCATTTTTTTTTTTTCTGTAGAGATGAAGCGGCAAACATATGAGAAAATGAAAGAGATGGAAGAGTTGATGTCCAAGAAGCAGCACCCAGACACAGAGAAGTACAAAGCTGCGCTGGAGAAAGGCCAGGAGAACCTGGAGAAACATAAAAAGATGACCATCATGACACAGAACGTCCTCAGGGTAAATAATTTGTTATAGAGGATTCTGCATGAGATGAAATTTACAGCCTGTGCTTTAATGTAACCACCTTTTCTCAGGGAATCCTCTTGGCTTGCAAAGTAAACTGGATGGATGATCCCAAACTTCGAGACGTCACCATGACACTGGAGGATTTTCCCATTTCGGACTAAAGGGGGAATTCATTCATCTCATATCTATGTGTTGTTTTGTCAAATAAATAATTAACACAATTGAGAACTTCTGAATTATGTATTTGTTAAAGCAATGTGGCCTGTGTCCACTAGATGGCGACACGTGAGACGAGGAACAGTGTCACAGTTAGCACACATCCTATCAGTGAAGAAGAGAAAGGGCTCTACACGTGTATATGCAGCACAGTCTTTCAATAACTATAAGTATATTTTTGGACTTTTGATCATAATAAAACCAAGTGAAAATGCCGAAAGTAAGGCCGGAGAAGAGGAGCAGGCAGCATCAGGAGGTCAAAAACCAAGGTATGTCTCTTCAGAGGAGGGGTTAGCATTAGCATAGCAGCAAACATCACAGTCAGCTGCTGGAAGAAAATGGGCTTTAATGTTAAGACTTTGTAGTGTCATCGTTATAAAACTTATGAGGACTTTTAAACGTTTACATAACCTTCATAATTACATTATTTCCACGTCTCGGCCTTGCATAACATTTGTTTAGGTTTATTAATGTTTTTTGTTACTCTCCCTGCCCGAAAATGTCAAATCTTTTCAAAGCCTGGTGTTAAGATTGTCAAATACTAGTTTGTTTGTTCATGTCTGCTCATAATGTTTCCCTCTGTCATGCTGATACATTTATACAGCTTCTGCTGAAGTTGCTGTATGAATTGTAACCTCATTTTCAGATACAATCATCCAGCAAAATCATTTCTCGACATACTCACACACCACTGTTGTCCCATGGTTTGAACGGTGTAGAAATGAGACACTGGGTTAAATCAACAGATTTTAAACTCGGGTTTTACTCCTCTCACATACAAACAAGGTGGTCTCTCCTGTGACATGGGGGTACACAGTATATTGTGTTCAGCCCAGTAGTCAAGGCGGAATAATTACAAGAGGGGAGCTGCATGCAGGAAGATTTATTTAACATCAATCCCTCTCCTCAGTTCAGTGTCCTAATCCCTTCTGTTGTAGGCGTCATGTTCAACACCGGCATTGGCCAGCACATCCTGAAGAACCCCTTAATTGTCAATGGAATCATTGAGAAGGTATGCTCTACCTATGCACTCTGACAAGTGTTTGATACACATACACATGCAGACAAAGACTGCATGGACGACAACAAAACACACTGTTTCTAAGTCATGTATGTTGCTGTGTTTTTCAGGCTGCTCTGAGGCCGACTGATGTGGTTCTGGAGGTTGGACCGGGTACTGGTAACATGACAGTGAAATTGCTGGAAAAGGCAAAAAAGGTGATTTTAAAATACTGTTAAACTGGTAATCAGGTGGAGACTGTAAGCTGTGTTCAGATAATGTATTAGTGTTTAGTAATATAACCCTAAACTGCACTTATCATGTTTAAAGAGTTTTACACATTGCACCTTGTATCATCTGTAAACACAACACAAGTTTTGCATTTCTTAGGTCAGAACTAGATTTTAGTTTAAAAAAAGCAATACCTCATGGTTATGTGTCTTACCTTGCTCTCTTTAGTGATAATAAGGTATACCACTAAACTTTAGCTCCACAAGCTTTGCATACACTTCCATACAGTGAATCCATAGAAAGTTGCACGTCTTTTTCTGGCTCTCTCTGTTCTCTGTCACACTAGTGCTTGCTTGGATTAAAGATTGTCCCTGGGATTATTGATTTTAACAGTTATTTGTTTTTTTAATCAGGTGGTTGCCTGTGAGCTGGACTGCAGATTGGTTGCTGAACTTCAGAAAAGAGTTCAGTGCACGTGAGTGAGGATAGCAGAGCACTGCACCACATAAATGTTCATTGCGTCTGCAGTTACTTAAAGTATGAGCCAGTGTGCAACGATTTTAACAGGGCGTTTTTTTCCCCAAAGACCTTTGCAGACCAAACTTCAAATATTAGTTGGAGATGTTCTGAAAACAGATCTGCCGTTCTTTGACATCTGTGTGGCTAATTTACCATACCAGGTAAAACACTTCTCCTCTGCGCTGCACACAGTCAGTTTGATGTCGTTCACTACATTAATCTCAAACTTGTTTTCTTGCACAGATTTCTTCACCGTTTGTTTTCAAGCTTCTGCTGCATCGGCCTTTCTTCAGGTAAACCAGAGGGGCTTGCTCAGACCCTCTCGCTGCTCTTTTCCTATGTCCTCATGGCGCATTTTAGTCATCCCCTCTTTTGTGTTGAACTTCCGGTCAGGTGTGCCGTGTTGATGTTCCAGAGAGAGTTTGCCATGCGTCTGGTTGCCAAACCTGGAGACAAGCTGTTCTGCAGGCTGTCCATCAACACACAACTACTGGCTCGAGTGGACCACCTCATGAAGGTCGCTGTGCACTCCCTGAAGTTTGCCATACGTTGTCTCTAAATGCAGCGTCATCACATTATGTTTTGTGATTGCTCAGAGTTGATGTTTCCCTCTTGATCAGGTTGGAAAGAACAATTTCCGTCCCCCACCAAAAGTGGAGTCCAGCGTTGTCCGAATAGAACCAAAAAATCCTCCTCCGCCAGTGAACTTCCAGGTGAGATTTCACACAATACTGAGTTTAACAGGAGCTTCATTGTACAGAGCTGATCTTTTCTTATCTTTTCTCCCCTGAAAAGGAGTGGGACGGCCTGGTCAGAATAGCGTTTGTGAGAAAAAACAAAACCCTCAATGCAGCCTTCAAGTGAGTATCTTCACACTGCTATCACTGTCACCATGATCCAAGTCTGCTCTGTCAAAAGAGCCTGTTGAAAAAAACAAGTGATCAAGTTGATCTAAACTTTCTAGATCCACTGCGGTAGAACAGCTGCTGGAGAAGAACTACAGAATCCACTGCTCAGTTCACAACGTGGTGAGTCGTGGTTTACTTTTTAGGGTAGGGTTGGGCTCTCAGTGGTTACTCCTTCAGAAGAAGCAGTTTTAAGATCGCTGTTCAATAAAAATGTTGTGCTACATCTTATCAGGAAGTGCCTGCAGACTTCAGCATCAGCAAGAAGATAGAGAGTGTTTTGCAGGGGGCAGATTTCGGTGAGAAGAGAGCCAGGTCCATGGACATTGATGACTTCATGGTGTAAGATGAACTTCTGCTATTCATTTGATTCTCTTAGGCCTCGTGTCCACTTAGTGTTTTTTTTTCCTGGCAGAAAAGCGCTGGATGTGGGCTCGGACTGCTTGCATGAAGCATTTTTGCACTGAGAATAAAAGTGCTGCATGTCCCTCCTTTGAGCCCTGTCTCTATGACGACAGCCTCTGTATGATCGACACGGTTCTGTTGCTTTTTACTGCATGTTTTCCATTTAGATCGTTTATTTCCCGACCAGACACAGAGCAAAGAGGATGTCGGTACAAGCCACGATCCGTAGGTGGTTAAAATACAGGCAATATCATTCATTTGGAAAAGAGCGCCGGTGATGTCAACAGCGTCTTTCTGAAAAGTGGGAAGATTTTCAACTTAAGTGCTCCTAGCGGCCACGCAAAAAAGACGGACCGCTGAAAAGTAGATGCTGTGCACTGCGCTTTCTCTTCGCTTCTGCAAATGCTCTCTACTCATTGAAAACAATTTGTTAAAATATGCTGCCGCTCAGAACAAAACGCAAGGTGGACACAGGACCTTAACCATTTTCTATTCCAAATAACCTCATCAAGTCCACGATCTTTTGTGCTTATTCACTAATGAGTGTTTTCTCTGTCCACAGGCTGCTTCATGCTTTCAACTCTGCAGGGATCCACTTTTCTTAGAGACGAAGCTGTAGAGACCTTTGACTCTTGTGTTGTTGCTTTTAACATGACAGAGGAGACATTACTTGCATTTGAGTATAAAAAATAGTTTTTGTGAACAACATTTCCTCTTGAGCGAAGAATTTCAGGTTCTGGAAATAGTATGAAATGTATAAAGACTATTGGAGACACATTTTAGCTCATATTGAGTTTCTATCGGCATGAGTACACAAAGGTTTCTTAGGGATGCATTACAGGCTGCATGAGGAAGAGACAGTCTGGATGAGTGGATATAAATAATCCAAGTGTACAACAACTGTATTTTGATCAATCAGTGAGTGCATTATTTAAATAAAATCACATTGTTCATAAGTTTATTAACACTTGACTTTTTCTGATCCAACACTATAAGACTGTTACTAAATATGACTTCTACTCTCTCTGTGTGTAAGTATATATAGGCCTCCTTACCTGCAACAGCATCAAGTCAAACTAAACTATATTTTTGTGTATGTCCACCTGTTGTTAAGAGAAGTTTCTCAGGAACACCTGAAGAGACTTTCTTCACATTTTTCTCAATAAATCTGGTTGATCAAATGTTCAAATAAAGTGTTCATTTATACTCCAAAGGTCAACTTCACTGCCTCAATAATGAAGTAAAAACACTTTTATGCCCATTAGTCTTGTGAATGCAACAGCTCAAAGACACTAGGAGGGAATCTCTTCAAATTAAGTGCATATTTTTGGGATTGTCAAAATTCAATGTCACAGTGACTTGATGTGTGTTTCCTATTCTCCTCGATGGACATTCTGGCATCTTTTTTCCACTTTATTGTCCGCCTGAGAATGAATATTGGACGATCTCTCTCAAGCTTTACTCCTTAAGGTGGGTGTGAACTGAAACATTTTGTAAATCTTTGTTTGCTTTGTGTTGAATGTGTTCGCTGAAATTGTAATTTGGGTTCACTTTAGTGTTCTTATTGCTCTCTTTGTTTATTTAACTAATTTTAGTTTTTGAACATCTTTGAAAGAGATGTGTCAATCAATTAAAAACTGACACACAAGGAGTAAAATAGCACAGATTTGCACAACTATAATTGGCCAGAGAGAATGTGGCTTTTGATTTCTGTGATCTGATTGGTTGCAGGTATCTTCAGGTATCTTCACATGTTTACTCTGAGTTCAGGGGGTTGCTGTTTGAGTGAGATGTTTAAGAAAACAAAAAAACAGGCTTTCAGTTGACTGATGAGTCTAATGCAGACAAGTGTGGTTTGCCAAATGTGTGAAGACGAGAGTGTGCATGCAGTTGTGCAGATCTGGGCTTACGTTTTGTTCCTTGGGTGTTAAATTTCAAGAACTGTGTATGATTAACAGGCTATTAATTTTGGTGTGGGAGCAGTCGTAAAAAAAACTACAAATTTGCAATTGTAGTTACTCACTGTGTCCGCTAGAGACAGGAATGCTTAGAAAATATTACATTAAAGAACAACTACAACAAAGCAAATTTAAGTATATCACGTAACATACAATGTTGTAATTCATGTCCAACTTGCGTTACCAGCGTTTGACTCAATCTTGAATTTCAACTCATCAGTGGTTACAGTCTATGGTTATAATATCTTAATTTGCAAACATAAATGGAAATACTGACTCTTAGAAACTATTTAATGCTCACCACTGCCCCCATGTGGTCACTGTATTTGTCTATTTGTAATGTTTTCAGGGGGAGTTTAACCACACTCCTTGTTTTCAAGGATGGAGACTCGAATTTGTCCATAAACATAGTTGATTTTACCCCCTCAGTAAATACAACAAAAGTATGATAGGATCAGGAAAGTATTCTGTTTAGAAAAAAAAATCAGGTCGAGATAACGACAAAACGTTAGTACACATCACTTTGAACCATTCTTGTGTTTGATATTGAGAGAGCAGACATTCTTTTTATTTAATACAATGTAATGGCACTGTATGTCACTTCAAATAATGTAGTTTATTAGATATAGTTTGATGTATTTTTACTATATAAAGTGTTTTGCAACTCTCTGCAGTGTAACCTTTGGACAGACATGTCACTTCACTACATGACACGACTTCAGTCTCTGGAGAGTAAGCATGTAAAAGAGGGCCCAAATGTCCCTGTATTTCAAGCAGGAAACAACCGGCACCGTGGAGACTTATTTGTACACGTCTTCCTGATTATCTCAGTCATTATGTCACTCCTAAATACTATCTTTATTAATACATGATGTATTATTTAAATCGATGGAAAGATATAGCTACTTGGATTTGTAGTTCTCCCTTTTTAAATCTTACCTCAGCATAATCCATGGATCAACAGAGGTTTAATAAATCTCACCAAAACGTGAGGATGGAGCGAGGAGAAGTCCTGTAGTGGTTTTGTGCTTCTTATTTGCAGCCATGGAGTCTGAAGGAATATTCAACACGGGTTCAATCAACTGTAACAGAGAATTATAACATAATCCATTTGAACTACAGAGCAGGTGAAGACATCTCATTGAAGTTATTCTGCACATTGATCAGGATAAGTCATTGTCACAAAAGGCCTTCAAATGAAACACATGAATCTTTATTACTTCATCCAGTATGACATCCGGTGCAAACACTGAGCAACGTAACCAATGGTAAGTCAGTGATCTTCACTATACATTAATAGCAGATTTTCTAGTTTCATGTTTATAACAAAGTGTTAAACAGGGGTGAAAAACATGATTTACAGTAAGTAAGAGGGTTTTTTTTAAGTCAGTTGCCACATAGAATGACATGGCACAAACTGAAACAAACTACAGGGGCACAAGGAAAACATGTGTTGAAAGTTTCCTCCAGAATGGAAAATGTTCTAAAAAGGAAGGAAAAATAAGATGAGACTGTTTGTAATAAGTTAAGACTACAATGCAAACTGAGGACCCGAGAGCATGAGAAAACGGAGGATGGTGGCGTACATGGGCTATTACATAATGCACATGCAGACATGTCAGCCAGAGCAACCAGAAGTCAAATACTGGTTTTGTGCAGTAAACGTTTAAACAAGTTAATTGAAGCTCTCTTTTGAAACCAGGTCCAAAAGAATCTGCTCAAAGAAAGTACAAACAAGTATAAAAGAAAATAATTTAAGAAGAAAAGAGAAGGGAGACTAACACTCTCCATAAAAAAGAATCTACTTAAAAGAAAGGAATTGAAAGTATTTTCCTTCCTATGTTTTCCAACGAGACCATGGTGGGTAAACAGCCAGTTTTGTTAGGAATGGGATCATGTCAGATGCAATTTCTAGAGCCTGTTGGTACAGCACAATGTCTTTTTATTGGTGTGTGTTTTTTTTTTTAACATCTGCTAGTGACAGCCCAAGTTGTGCCAAACATCTAGTGGTTATGTTGTCGTATGTGCCACTTCTACTTCTTCAGCTTTCAGTATCTACAGAGCACGTGGCCTCTTGGGATTGATCTGCTTACTGGCCTGCTCCTCCTCCTGAAGTGTAGAACGAAATGACTTCACTTTATCTGTTGAAGGAAGAAAAGAGAGGTAAGTGTGCAGTATGTCACAGCAGGATGGATTGTCATCAATTGGTCACATCTGTCAGCAGCGTTGTCAAACTGCACCATCATTTGTAGCTTTGCACTTGGTTACTTTTCAAATTCAATAACGCTGAGAGGAGAAAGGGAGACCAACTGAATTTGTCTATAACCTATTTCGAAGCTGCTGGAAGATGACAATTCACCAAGATGTTTATCATCGATAGTGCGCACCCCACACACAGCAGCAAAAACCACTAGACAGCTCTAGACCTTGCGCGATAATGCACGGGTGCATTTCGCACAGGAGAAAGAGAAGATTCTGCGGCTTGGGAGGCAGCATCAGATGGATTACAGAGGTCAGCTAAATTTCATATCTTCCCTGACTGAGTTGATGGAGCAGTGGCAAAGCCTCCATGAGCTGCTGCAGCGGCTGAGAGAGAGAGATTTGGCACTCACTACATTTCCCAGCCATGCTCCATGTTCATCACCAAGGGCAGGTAAAAAAAATATTCAGCAATCGGTTTGTAGCGAAGAACTTTGTTGATCAAAAACTTAAAAAAGGTAATCTTTACTTTTGTGATATTTATGAAGAGTCTTAATAAAGAGTCTAAACGTTCTCTGAACACAAATTTTTCAAAGCCTTTTTTTCCCTGAATGTTCAAACCACAGATTGTAAATATTCATGAACGAAGTCTGAGTGACGTCACCCGTCTGTTACTGCAGGGGGCTTTGGAGTCCCATCGCACAACAGACCAAGGAGGAGCCACTCACATACTAACAGCTGACTTGATTTGAAATCACCGCCTGCTCCACGATTTGTAGGCCAGGACTAAAAGTACAGATGGCAAGTATTGAAGCAAAAAAATTACCATGTTACTTTCGAAGGAATATTAGATATTAGTCACTAGTAACTATAGTAGTAGCAAGTAGTTACTCATTTCCCTGTGTGTCAGCAACTCTTAGTCATACCTCGAAGCTCAGTGAGGATTTCTATCTTCTGGTCTAGGATCTGTTCCAGCTGAGTGGCGTACGACTCCACGTCATAATCGACCTCCTCTGTCATCTCCAGCAGCACCTTTTCATCTTCTAACCACCGGATGGACTCCTGTTCACAGACGACAAAGACATCAGAATATTTACCAATCAGACGGGCGAAGGAATACCTTTCATTCTTATCGGGTAAAGGTTCCTCATTACAAAGAGGCACCTCAAATGTAATTGATGTAAAGCAGCAATAATTGATCAATGATATTACTTAGTAAATTTAAAAAAATACAATATACTCTCTTAAATATTAACATTCATATTGTATCTGTGGACCTGGGTCAAGGAGTATAAGAATAACTTGTGTAGATCTTTGTGTAAATTTAAAAAAAAAGGATTTGATATAAACTGGAGTCTTGAAAGACTTGTGTGTCCTGACTCCTGACCTGGAAAACAGCTCGATGGTCCTCCAGAACCTGCTCCTCCATCTCTACCAGCTGAGACACTGCCTCATGAAAGGTAAAAAGCTGGGGAGACACTTCCTCCTCCTGGTGAAGAAGAGTAGAAATGTTTGACAGGGACACAGAAACAGGTTTAAAATGCATTAAAGCAGCAAGAACTCAACAAATGATCTTCTCAAATCTGGATCTCTATGGAAATTCCTGGACACGTTTAAATAATCCTGAATCCTTCAATGTAAAAACAAACTTCTGACTTCCTCACACAGGAGTGTGTGTGGGAACAGTTTTGATAAGAACAGGTCTGTGTGTGTTACCAGATGTTTATGTACATGTCTCCAAAGTTAATAATACACATGTCCAGACAGTCTCTTAATTTCCACTACAGCATACATCTTAATGTAC